AAGCTGAAACTACAGGCATTCATCACGACACAGGGCACAAAGTACTGATCTTTTAAAACATTTCAGGGATACATCTGGCTGAACACACGCTGGGAGCTTAGCTGGGGCAGCGTCCTGCTACCAGCTCCCTGAATTCCTGCGGCCCGCTGGGGAGGCAGCCTCTTCCTTAGGTTTCACAAAGCCCTGGCCTGTTCCTTTTCAGCGCCCAGCACGTGATGCAGGGCCTCCAGCAATCCCGCCACTGAGCTATCTCCACGCCCCAGCTTCCTTCCTGACCCAGGCACCAGATCCCTGACACAGATTCAATGCTCTGACTCGGGAGGCCATGTCCTCCTGGAGGTGCCCTGGCACTGTGCCCGCAGAAGCGCCTGCGAAGGGCCCATGCGCAGCCCTCACCAGTTGTAGGCAAGCTGCAGCTGCAGCCTGGCGTGATCTGCAGTCTCGATGGTGATGACATCTGTGAAGAAGTCAGGCCCAAGCAGCAGGCAGAGTGCCCGGCGGGCATGGGGCCGTTTGGGCCGCCCTGCCGAGAGGGACAACACAGTGAACTGCTCCTCGGGACCCAGCGACACCAGTTCTGGCCCAAAGACCACACTGCAGAGAGAGCCAGAGGTCAGATGTGCACAGGCAGACGCCCCTGCCTCCCCGTGGCAGCCGCGGGGGCACAGCTCACCGGGCCCGCTTGGCTCTGTAGTCGTACACCTGCACGGCCGCATTGTGCGGCACACGGTAGCTGACCACGCGGGTCTTGTTCCGGGCGGCGGAGGGAGGAAGGGTGCTGGTGCTGTCTGTCATGCCCCTGTCGGCCAGGGGGTCCTGCGCCTTGCTCAGCAGCTCCTCCACCCCAGGAGGCAGCTCCTTCTCCCACAGGACCTCGTCCTGGTCCAGCATGTAGGTGCTTCCGATCACAGCGCGCACCTTGAGGACAGGAACAGGGATGCGGGGGCGTTATGGTGGGGAGAGGGAGGGAGGGAGCAGCCCCGCGTGCTCAGCAGAGTTGGCCGGCAATGGCAGGGCAGCAGTGTGCTTGGGCAGTTTCTGCTAGCTGCTAGCTGTGACCTGGGGCAAGCTGCCTCCTCACGGGGCGTCAGCGCCCTCGTCTGTAAAGCAGACGGGAGAGTGATACCTCACCTTGACGAACAAAGGAAATTTCATACGTCTAGTTCAAATAACAGCACTTGATGCACGGTGCATGCCTGACCTTAATTCTAGAATTTTCCTTCCTGGGGCAGCTTGGAGGGCATCACAGAGACAGATGCCAGCGGGGTGGGATTATAGTTCTGGCCCTGGGGAGGAGGTTCTCACTGTCCCCTGGTCACACTTCTATGAGAACTCTGCATTGGTACCGGACCCGTGGTAGGGCAGAACCTCCACACTAACACCTAGCTCAGCCTCTCCGCCAAGTGTCTCAAGTGTGAAATTAGATATTTAAGGCAAAGCGATGACAGGTCCTCCACAGAACGTCTTATCCAGGCAGTCTCAAGGGCCCTCCCAGCCTGCCCTCAGGCCGCTCTCCATCATCCCCCACTAGGCATGAGGAAACCCCCACCTCACCGCCCACCAGCGCCCGTCCCTCAGCTGTCACCTTCCCAGTCTTGACATCCTGCACGTAGATGCCCTCGTTCTCATCCAGAGGGATGGCCTGGCGCTCCTCCACCACCTCCACCTTGGCCGACGGCACGTACTCCAGGGGCCCTCGGATGAGCCAGTGGTCCCCGGCCTGGTGTGGGCCCTCCTCGCCCTCCTCGCCCTCCTCCAGGGACTGCAGCGCCTTCAGCAGCAGGCCCTGCTGCTCGGACAGCACATACACATCCTGGATGCCTCGCTCCAGCCTCTCGCCAGGCTGCAGGAAAAAGGACTTCTCGCCCTGGTGGGGAGACAGGGAAGGCGGGTGTCAGGAGCAGCTGTCACCCAGGACCACGGTGCCTCCGATGGCACGTCCCCCACGTCATCAAGCTCTTCAGACTGGGAGGCTCAAGACAAGTGCTAGTAGAAGCTTACTGGATCAAGCATGACCCCCCTGCCCCACCTTTTCTGCCGTACTGAGGATGGACAGGAAGACCCAGGGTCTCCACACTGAGCTATATCCCCAGCCCTTTTTATGTTGAGACAGGGTCTTGCTATGCTGCTAAACTGTCCAACCTGCCCAGGCTGGACTCCAACTTGAGATCGTCCTGCCTCAGCTTCCTAGGATGCTGGGACTACTGAGATGTACTCGCACTCCCAACGCTCAACTACAACTTTATTTTTTTTTTTAAATTTTTAATTTATTTTATGTGTGTGTGTGTGTGTGTGTGTGTGTGTGTGTGTCCAGCTCAGCCCACTAGGGGGCGGGGCTGGCTGGCATGTGGTGCTGGGGATTGAACCGCGGTCCCTGTGCTTTATTAAGCTTGTTCTAAGTAGGTGCTTTAGACCACTGAGCCATCTCACCAGCCCCTCAACTACATCTTTAAAAGATTCTGTAAATGAAGGCGGGAGACAGGAAAGGAATGTTGCGGGACTGTCCTACTACAAGGTTGTATATGGTTAGATTTCTGGACTTATGTGTAAACACAAGAATTATATAATTCTTTATGCCTATTTTTAAAATATATTTTAATTTTTTAAATGTTTTTTTCATCATATTCTGTAGAGACTTAAAGTTTAACATATCAATACTTGATGAAAAATACCTGTTCCATGTTATGCCCAAGAGGTTTGATATTCAGACAGATAGTGAGGTTAAGCTTAACAGCCTAGTTTGTATGGTAATAACAATAAGCTTCTCTTCTGGAGGGTTAACAACCTAAGTTTGCAGAACAAAGTAAGAGAAAAAGGAGGGCTGCAAGGAAAGCCAAAACCAACATTTTGGCCCTAGCCTTCCAAGGTCAATTAAGACTCAGGACATATGAGAACTTGTACTGTAACGTCATGTAACTCAGTAGTGTCCCAAATTTTCTGATCAAGGAGATTATGGAGACAAAGAGGAAAGTGATCGATGATGCAGAGTGTGGCTAAGGAGAGTCACATGGAGAGAAAACATTCTCTCAGGCTTTCACAAAGAGCACATTGGCCAAGCAATGGCCGTGACTCATCCACATGGCTGCACTGATAAAGGTTCTACAATCTGAGGGACAGGATCTCAGGACAAATCCTGAGGGGATTTGACTGACCTTATCAGATCCAAAAGCTACAACTCTTTGTTGCATAGGTCCTGCTTTACCTTGGTCTTAACCATCCACCAGAAAAGTATAAAAACGAAGTATAAGAAGTAAAGCCATGCTGTTATGTTGAGCTGTCAACAATTTCTGACACCGCCAGTCAAGCGGAAGACCCAATACTACTATGGACTACTGGACTCTTTTAGAATATTTTGCTGAGTTAACACATCTATAATATTCAAATGACGGAACTAAACCAAAAAGGGGATACAGATGAGTGTCCATTTTGTATCCACGTATTCAAAATGGTTAGGATAGATATTTAGTTACATTCTCTTAATGAATACAAGGATTTGTTCTAATAGTGTTTGTAAATAGGATATCATGTCTGCATCTCGTAACCACTAGGAAGAGAGTTTGCAATGTGTTATTGAAAGTGTCCTACCAATTTGAAAAAAAAGAAAAGAAAACTTAAGGGACTTACTCAGCATCTTTTATTTTTGTACATTTTTAACATAATGTGCATTACTTCAAACAACAAATAAATTTCTAAAACACTCCAAAAAATAAATAAATAAAAGATTCTGTAAACTGCCAATGCCCGGACCCTCACTAAACAGGGCTGAACCGATCGCCAGGAATGAAGGCTCGGGCCTATAATCCCACTAGTTGGCAGGTAGAAGAAAAAGGATTGCAAGTTAGAGGTGAACCCCGTCAAGGTAGGGAGGTCCTGTCTCAAAATGAAACTTTAAAAGGTCTAGGGATGGGGCCCAGTGGTAGGACACTTTCCTAGCAGGGCGAGGCCCTGGCTTCAGTCCCTAGTACTAAGAAGACCCTCGGGCATTCACCATGAAACCATCAACACCGGAGGTGAAAGGCTGCTCACCGCCCTAGCTCGATCATCAGGCCGTGTGGCTCGCCTCTATAATCCTACACTGAGAGGCTGAGGCAGGAGGAGAATACTTTTCAAACCCAGCCTAAGGACCGACCAGATAGCTCAGCAGGACTACAGTTCCTGCTGAGGCAGAGCACAGCGGCCAGGGCGAGGGCTCCATCCCCAGCATGCCGCGCTGGCCCCGCCCTCAGGGTGCACCGAAACAGTGACTGAGACTGGGCGTGGTGCGCGCACCTGTAATCCCAGCGCTTCGGAGGCTGATACAGGCAAATCACTGAGTCCCATCTAGTAGTGAGACCTTGTAGACCCTGTACTAAAAAACCCCAAAACAAAACAAAAACAAAAACCCAGCCTAATCAATGCAGCAAGACCCAGCCTCAAAAAAGGTCTGCAAATGTAGTTCAGTGCACAGCACCTGGATTGCACCCCCAGTAACACTAGCGCGCGCGCACACACACACACACACACCACTGTTTCCCATAACTGGACAACTGTACCAAGTTCCAGCACTGAGGATGAAACCCAGGTATACTCTCCCGGTGAGTTACATACTGAACCCTTACAGGCACTTGTGCTAAACTGCCCGAGGTGGGCTTGAACTTGCGATCTTCCTGCCTCAACTTGCACAGTGCTGGGATTACAGGCCTCCACTCAGGTTTAAATTAAAAAATTTAAAATATACATTTAAAACAATTAACTGTTTCTGCTTATTGTTTCCATGCTTTGTTTTCTGGGATGATATAATTTATTTTTCTTTTTCGTTTTTTTTTTTTTTTTTTTTTTTTTGCGGAACCGGGGATTGAACTCAGATCCTTGACGTTTGCCAGTCAAGCGCTTATCCTACTGAGCCATCTCCCCGGCCCCTTTCATTTTTTTTTTTGGTTGGGAGAAGTAGTATATAATTTGAGGGTTGGGAAAGTCTAGTCTTATGGGTCTAATCTGCCCTGCCACCCAAGTCTTCAAAATGTCTACAGTTTTCCGCTGTACCTGTGGGTGATTGGTTCCCAGATGCTGCCACTCCCATAGGGAACCCCAAGTCCAAGTCCCTTACATAAAAAGGCACAGTAAACCAATCATGGTGGCACATGCCTACAATCCCAGCACTTCGGAGACTGAGGCAGGAGGATTTCCGTGAGTTCGAGGTCAGCCTGGGCTATGTAGTAGGTCCAAGGCTAAGGCCAGCCTGAAACTACACAGCAAGACTGTGTCTCAAGAAATGAATAAAAATAAAACTATATATACAGGCATTGCTAAATTACTAAATTATCTATGCAGGGCTCAAACTTTCAATTTCCTGGCGCTACCTCTTGGGGTGCTGGGATTACAGGTGTATGCCACCATACCTGCCTCAGAACTTAATTTTATCATGAAATGGGGATCTTGCTTTATTGCTTTGGCTGGGCTTGAACTTGCAATCCTCCTGCTTCAGCTTCCCAGCAAGTTGGGATTACGGGTGTGCACCACCATGGCCTCCCACATACCTTAAGTCATACTGATGTCTAATATAAATGCTATGTTAGTAGTTATTATTATTTTGTATTATTATGGGAATAACCAGGGGAAAGTCTGAGCATGTTCAGCTCAGACACAAGTGTTTCTCCCAATATCTGGATCCCTAGCTGGATGGTGTGTAGGCGTGAAGCCCCCAGACAGGAAGGCTGGCTGTATCTTTACCGCATTATGAGACAGGTGTATAATTTCCATACAAACTCTACTCATCTGGAGCGTACAATTCAGTTGCTTTCTCTTATTCAGAGATGTCCAACCACCATAATTATGTATGTCTAAAATATTCTCATCACTCTGCAAAGAAAACCTGTACCTAGTAGCAATCACTACCGAACCCGGACCAATTAGGTCACCAACTGCTAGTCTACTTTCTGCTCTCTGCTTTGCCTACTCTGAGCCTTGTGTGTGGGGGCTGTTTTTTGTTTTTTCCTGCAGTAAGGGGAATCGAACTCTGGACCTTGTGCTTGCCAGGCGGTCACTTATGCTGCTGAGCTATCCACTGAGCTATCGCCCTGGCCCCTGAGCCTTGTGCTTAAACATAAACATACAATAGATAAGTGGACTTTTCTCTCTGGGTTCTTTCATTTAGCAAGTTTTTAATTCTACCTATGTTGTAGTCCACAAAAGTATTTCATTTTTTTTCTTTTGATGTTTTTGAGACCAGGTCTCCCTATGTAGCCCAGGCTGGCCTCAAGTTAATGGGAATTCTCCTGCCTCAGCCTCTCGAGTAGTGGGATTATAGGCATGTGTCCCTAGACGTGGCTCTTCACCTCCTTTTATAGCTGAACAATATCCACTGTATGGATGTGTCACCATTTTTTTTTTTCCATTCATCAACTAGTGAACATTGGGGTTGCTTCTACTTTTTTTCAGCTCTTGATTTTGCAAATAAAATGTTCTAGGGGGGCCTGCCCCTTAGCTCAGCTCTTTAAGTGGTTGCTTCAACAAAGCAGTCAGGCTCAGGTTGCTGTGGTTCAATCCCCACAACTCAAGCCAGCCAAACCTGCCCTGAAGGCATTTGGAGCCAAAAAAAAAAAAATGTTCTAAGCTCCCAACTGCATATGTAGCGTTTATGGTTCGCATGACACTATGTATCGCAGTCACAGGTCATGTCTACTACACAGCCTCCACTGAGAATATCTCCTGACCCCGGTGTTCACATGCACGGCGAGCCGGGCCTGGAGGTGCTTGCCTGTGATCCCAGCACTCTGGGAGGCTGAGGCTGGAGGACCAAAAGTTCCACCAACGCCCCCCCCCCCCCCGGGCCCACAAAACAGACAAACAAATAAAAGTTCCACCTTGTCCAGGCTATATAGCAGCTTAGTGCCAACCTGTCTCACAATAAGTAAAAAGGGCCAAGGGAGTTTATTGCAAAGAACCTGGGTTCAACCTCCAATACTGGTAGAAAAGAGGGGACTAGGGGAGGGAGTGGGAGGAGGGCAAATCATGAGATTTTGCACAGGCTGACAGATGCCAGAACACAGAAGTGGAAGGGCTGAGTTCCAGGGCCTTTAGCATGGCCCATCCCCACCCTTCCAGGGACTTTCTGGAAGAGGCAATAAGTCCCTGAGGGCCAAGTCACAAGGAGGCTGCTCGGGAATCAAATGGAGAGACGATGCTGCCATACCATGCATATGGACGTGTACGTATACATACGTACACGCGACGTGTGCAAAGGCGCATTTCTAGAATGCATCCCGGCACAGGGGGAAGGGAGAGCCAATGAGATTCCTGCCACTCGTAGCCACCACCCTTGCAGGACAGCTCAGGATGGAGGGGAGCTCACCTTGATGACGCGCTTCTGTCCTAGCTGGTTCTTGCCATCTGGTCCCACAGGGTCGAGGACCACACAGTAGTGGCGGGGACCCAAGGTCGTGATGGGCACAACCCCCAGCACCTCCTCGTACACATCCGGCACGTGGGCTGCGGCGTCTCGCACCGTGACCAGCCATTCCTCTCCAGTGCGGCGGGCCACTCCCCGCAAGTCCTGGAAGTTCTGGAGAGCCCGGAGGTGCAAGGCTGTCTGCAGTAGGAGACACTGGTATGAGCAAGCCCTCCTCCAACTCCTCCTGCCACCTCCCTCGGGACTCCGGGACCACCACTGGTCACTGAAGGCTCCCAGTTCTGCCTGACAACATGGGCCAACCCAGGAGGATGCTTTGTCCTCAGACACTCCAGACCAGAATACTCCTCAGGTATTTGGGTTTTTTTTGTATTTTTAGGGAAGGGTTTACAGGGTGTTCAGGGTCTCACTACTAGATCGGACTCGCAGTGATCCGCCTGCTTACAGCCTCCCAAGAGCTGGGATTACAGGCACCACCATGCCCAGTCTTCCTTAGATATTTGAATTCTAATTTTTTATTGTTTGCAGCCACCTCAGCCTGTCCTGGGGGTGGGGCTGCCAAGGCATGTGGTGCTGGGGATCGAACCACAGTCCCTGCGCTTGCCTAAGCAGGCACATTAGACCACTGAGCTGTCTCGCTGGCCCCTCTAATTTTTTTTTTCTAATTTTTTTTTAGGACCTTAGAAATATGGTTTCTCAGGCTGGGGAGATAGCTCAGTAGAGTAAGTGCTTGCCTGGCAAGCGCAGGGTCCTGAGTTCAATCCCTAGTACCACAAAAAACAAACAAACAAAAAGAAATATGGTTTCTCTCTGACACCCACACTCACGGCCACCACGCTCTCTACTTGCAGCACTCGCTCTCCGGGGCCCCTTTACCCACAAACCTTTTCTGTAAGGATCACAGCATCCACCAAATCCAGAACTTCCTCAAACACCGCCGGGAGATACGCACCCACTGAGCGGACCAGCCACTCTTCTCCTGCGCCAAGGGTAAGAGGGAGGGTCGAGGGTCACCGAGCCTCCCCCAGCCAGCCCTTCCCACCACAGAAAGAACCAGGGACTGGCAGGTCTTCAGACCAAGAGCTGCCATGGTTCCCAGGCTCCAGGGCCTGACAGGCTCCTACCTTCACATCCCAGGAGAATTGAAAAAGCCCAAGCTGCTGCTATGCTAATCCGCTACTATCACTTCTCGAAGTTCTAGTGACTAGCTGTTTTTCCTCCTCCTTAAACAGTCAGCAGAAGCATCTCTATTGAACTGGGGCATGGCGGCACAAGCCTGTAATTCCCGCACGCAGGAGGATGTCCACAACGTCTTTTTTTTTTTTTTGGTCCAGGAAATAGAACTCAGGACTCTGTGCTTGCCAGGCAGGCACGGTGCTACTGAGCTATCTCCCCAGCTGATCTCCACAACTCTGAGGCCAGTCTGGAGTATTTCATAGCCCAGTGGTAGAGAACTATGGCACGCATGCTGCAGCAGGCCACTCGTGTCACCGAAGCTCTTAAAGGCTTGCCATCACTGACACAGAGACTCTGCCTCGAAAAGCCAAAGAGCTGAACTGGGCATCGCGGCGCACACCTGTAGCAGCACTTGGGAGGCTGAGGCAGGAGGATTGTTGCAAGTTCCAGACCACCCTGGGCTACAAAGTGAGCTCAAGGCCAGCCTGAACTACATAGTGAAACCCTGTCTCAAAAAGACAAAAACCAAAAACCACA